ATATATATATATATATATATATTATATTTTATTTATATATTAATTTACATTTATATTTTTATTAAATTTTATTATTATATTTGAAGTCATTTGCTGAATACGTCAATGATAAATTAATGCAACCCAATAACTGCAACCCAATTTATTATTCATATTATTTGTGCACGATATGCCAAATTATGATTCGCTTTCAATTATTTTATTTTGAAGCAAAAGCTTCAGTTTTTAAAAGGATGGATTAGTTCAGAATGGATTATTATATTAATATTATTATATAATAATATAGTATTATACTAATATTAACATATTAGTTATTGCAAACTCTGAATTATGATTTAATTCTAATAATAAATAATTTAATAATTTGTCAAATAATTATAATAATGTAATTTTTAATGCTACACTAAAAATAAAAATTTTTTTAGAAACTATTTTCACTCAAAAATCACTAGTAAGCAAATAATTACAAAGAAACAACAAGTAACACATTGAATGAAATGTGAAATTCTGATGTAGAAAGTCTAAAACAGTATTGTATTGCAAAATGTACTCGAATAATATTTGTTTTATTTATAACTTTGAAAAAATTACTTTTACATGTAGACACCGAGTTGCTCACTCTGGTGAAACAATTTTGTATATTAAGAGTTTTATTTCTTTGTCCCAATACCAGCGTCCTGTCTTAATACAAACTCAAATGTATGTGCTTATTAGCCTGTGAACTGGGATGCAGCCTGACTCTTGTGACCAGGTCAAAGGTCAAGAGTTTAGCAGTTCAAACACCAGCCCCCTCCCCCCCTCACGTCACCACGTCTCCTCCAATCAGAGCGAGCGAGAGCTTCGTCATGCCCAATCAGAATTCAGCTCAGGCAAATCACACCATTTACCAATAGGCTGACAGGGTGGGCGGGACTCCAGTCCCTTATAAGATCTCCTCATTGGCCAAACCGCCCCAGTCTTCAGTCTGGCTCTACGGACAGAAACACCAGCCAATCAAACAGCCCCATTCCACAAAATGACGCCAAATCCGTTTCACAGGAGGCCAGGAACTCTTGGAATCGGATTAAGATTGTGATCGACTGAATGAGAATGTGGTTACGGCGACTGAACAAAGACTAAAACCGAACTACATCTCAGACTGAAGGCAAATACGGTGCTTCAGAAACAAACTGCAGTTGAATAAACCACTTAGACGAAGAATTACAAGTCAGTAATCTCATTTTGTTCTTGGTCAAAACAACATAAGACTTTATCCCAACTGCAAGTTAGTGGACTAGTTAAGACAAACATAAAGAGTTCATGCAACTGGCCGCAGGAAATAAGCACGTCAACATTGAGTGAAAAAATAAAATATGATATTGCTAATTTATATTATACAAACATGCCCCATGGTCACGGAAAATTGTGACTTCCAGCCAATAATATGCACTTTTAAGCCTTTTCTGCTAAACCCGTGTTAGTTTATGTGGGGCCTTACAAGATCTTGCTAAAATTGTAAATAATACTCAGAAATAGATTTTTTAATATATTTTCAGTTTTCAATTTAAGTCAAAGTTTTAGTATTAATTATATAAAATATAAGTTTGTGGTTCATTCTTTTGACTTTGTGTTGAAATGTGACCCGCTTTCATGAGATTCAAACAATTATTCTATAGAACGATAGAACGATAGATAGATAGATAGATAGACAGATAGACAGATAGATAGAAGTTTATAAAAAAAAATATATATACATACAGTAAAATATTATATATATATACAGTTTTCAATTTAAGCTTAAGATTTACTATTTAGAATTTTTGTGTTGTCATTTTTTAGTTTTTGTTTTTTTACTTAACTTAGTTTTTCCACAAAATACACACAAAAATAAATGTGCCACTTCATGTGTCTTTTGGAGTTGGGTCATATTTTTGATGCAATAATTCAAAGATATAAATTCACACATTACATTTTAGAGGGAAAAAACTGGCTTGAGCGTAAATTCATTGGTCAAAAGGCTGCACACATTAAACACTGATAATAAAGAGTACAAAAAATACTAGCTAAATCACAATAATTAAGTGATTTGACTAGTTTAATGCGTAAAAATGTCTCCTTTTCTGATGACTTTTCATTTATGTAATAACAATACAGTCACTCATTAACACAAGTCATTAAAACCAAACCAGATTCATTAAAACATCAAACACAAATCTGACCTCAAATCAGCAGATAAAGAACAAACCCCAGCAGCCCCTGAGGCTCAAACTGATGAAGGTTTTGTGTATTTTCTATGCACTTTTGTTTATTTCTTGCACAAATTCCTGCAGTTACTCGAACCATGATGCCAATATAAAGATGCATAAGTAGTTAAATCATTTTGGCAGTGCTCCGTGGGTAAACGGCACATTTAGGTCATGTCTTGCTGCTAAAGCTTTGTTCTCTCGTTCTCCTTTGTCTGCTTGTAATTTGGCCCTCGGGACAAAGTCTATCAGGATCGCAGTCAGAGATGATAAACCGCAGCTCCGTTCTGCTTTCAAAGCTCCCCAAACTTGGGTTTAACGATGGTCAATGTTTCTATTTCTGCCTAAATCAACCTTAATTTAAAAAAAACATCCAATCACATCATTCATTCATCCAAGGGAGACTTTTCTGATATAGTATACAGGAACTAAACTGCTTAGCTTCATTAGTAACTAAATGGGTGAATCTCACAAAACATATTCAATCAAAATAAAATGAAACAAGAATTCATATTTTACATAAAGAAAGCTAATAATGTCACAATGCAAAAATAAAATAATAAAAGGTTCATCTTTACTCAAACAAAATATATGTTTTCTCTTTTTTTCCCTTTTTCATTTTGGGGTGAAATGTGGAAAAAAAAATAATTAAAGAAAAAAAAGTACAGATACAAATGTACACACGAAATTTGTGTTTTAGTTGAAAAAAAAAACAACTGGCTTAAGTGTAAATTTATTGGTCAAAATGCAACAAGAAAGTTGTTAAACACTATTAATCAAGTTGTTTTAGTGGTAACACTTTACACAATAAGGTTTCATTTGTTAACATTAACTATATTAGTTAACATGATCAATAATTATATAGCAGTTATTAATGTTAGTTGATATTAAGTTCAAAACTTACTAATACATTATTAAAATTTAAAGTTGTATCTGTTAACATTAGTTAATGCACTGTGAATAAACATCAACATTTTTATTAACTAACATTAGATTCAAAATTCATTGTTAGTTCATGTTAATTAATGCATTAACTAATGTTAACAAATGAGACCTTATGGTAAACTGTTAATCAAAATATTAATTATATATTATATAAAATATTATTTTGTTTTTCCTTTTGATTTTGGGGGAAGATTACAGAGAAGTCTATTTTGGGGTCATTTAGATTTTATAATGTGACATTATTAATTTCCTAATTTTCTTAATGTAAAATATTATTTTTTGGTTAGTTTTTTTGATCTTGTGTTAAAAAGTGACCCGTTTTCATGAGATTCATTCAATTATTCTATAGTTACTAGACTTTTTATTTGAGAAAAATTCAACATGTCATCAACTTCCTGTCCAGATCAGATTCGTTTAGTTTTGGTTTGATCATCACTCCAGAAGCTCACGACATGTAGAATAAAATCACGCTCCAATGGGATCAGATTAATGACTAGAGCTAGGGAGACTGACGGCTACGGACTCTACCGTCAATAATCCATAAATCATACCTGGAAGCAGACGGATCTGAAAATCTAGATTCTGTAAATCAAAACAGTTGAGGCCGACCATGAAGGAAACATACAGAAAGCAAGAGAGAGAAGACAGATATCAAATGCAGTGTGGAAATGTCGCTACATCAGCACGCCTGAATTAAAGCTGAAGTGTGCCATTTCTGAGCCTCTAGAGGTACCAAGCGGAACTGCAAACACAATTTAGTGTTGCTATGCAGTTGCTAAGGTCGAGTAGTTTTTAGCATGTTCTATGCAGTTGCTAAAGCAGCCTGGACAGTTGCAAGACATTTTGGCTAGTTGCTAGGCTGTTATTATGAGGTTGCTAGGACAATCTGCTTGCTATCGTGTTCTATGCAGTTGCTAGAATGTTCTGGCTGGCTGTCATAAGCCATTGCTATGCGGCTACCAAGATGCGCTGAGTGTTTCTGTGTGTTGCTATAGGGTTCTGAATGGTTGCCAGGGTGTTGCTATGCGGTTCAAAGGGAACTGTTGGAGTTCTCGGAGCGGTAAATGTGATGCTTCTGTGCAGTTGTCAAGTTGTTTTGAGTGTGTTGTTACAGTATGTGGTTGCTATAATGTTCTGGATGGTTGCCAAGTTCTTGCTATGCAGTTACCAAGGTGTTCTGTGTGGTTTTCAGTGTGTTGCTACAGTATGTATTTGTTCAAATATTCTGGATGGTTACCAAGGTGTTGCTATGCGATTGCCAAGGTGTTTTGAGCATTTCTTTTTACAATGTTTCTACAAAAGTATGTGGCTGCTCTGGATGGTTGCTAGGGTGTTGCTATGCGGTTCTGAGGTGGCTGTTAGAATGTTCTGTGTCGTTCCTATAGTGTTGCTATAGTATTATGAGTGATTGCCAAGGTGTTTTGAGTGTTTTTTTAGCTTGTTGCTACAGTATGTTGTTGCTATAATGCTTTGAATGGTTGCTAGGGTGTTGCTATGCGGTTCTGAAGTGACTGTTAGAATGTTGACCCATTAAAACTGATGTGTTATTATTCTATAGAACCTAGATATAAACATGTCAAAGGTAACTTAACGACTAATTAACTTCAACTAACTTGCACAGCAAAGTGTTTTTGTCCCCGAAATGCTTTAAGGAAGCACAGGCGCCTCACCTCCTGCAGCAGATCCGCCTGCTCGATGGCTTTCAGGACATTCTTCTTCGACGTCTCCTGAGCCTCGCCTCCCAGCAGGAACTCGTCCAGGATAAAATACGCCTTCTCGAAGTTAAAGATGATATCCAGCTCGCAGACCTGAGTTTGAAGATCAATCACTGTTATCTGCAATCGCTTTTGTTTTTGGAAGCAACTAGTAATGTCAATGTATTTTCTGTCGCATGACTTACGCTGCCGAAGTATTTGTCGAGCAGCTCGACGTAGCGGTGGATGATCTCCAGTGTGATCAGTTCGTTATCCTGGTCCTCAATGGCACAGCAGAAATACAGACTGGCGTATCTGCAACATAAACACGTTTGTTTTAGTGCACTCTTGTGAATTCAGTCAGATTTTAATCAGTTTTTGAATCTGTTGCTCTTAGTGGTTACCAAGGTGTTGCTATGCAATTTGCCAAGGTGTTCAAGTGTGGTTTGTAGGGTGTTGCTACAGTACAGGGTGTGTGGTTGTTAAAATGTTCTGGATGGTTGCTAGGGTGTTGCTATGTGGTTGTCAAGGTGTTCTGAGTGGTTTTTAGTGTGTTGCTACAGTATGTGTTTGTTATAATATTCCAGATGGTTGCCAAGGTGTTGCTATGTGGTTGTCAAGGTGTTCTGAGTGGTTTTTAGGGTGTTGCTACAGTATGTGTTTGTTATAATATTCCAGATGGTTGCCAAGGTGTTGCTATGTGGTTGTCAAGGTGTTCTGAGTGGTTTTTAGGGTGTTGCTACAGTATGTGTTTGTTATAATATTCCAGATGGTTGCCAAGGTGTTGCTATGTGGTTGTCAAGGTGTTCTGAGTGGTTTTTAGGGTGTTGCTACAGTATGTGTTTGTTATAATATTCCAGATGGTTGCCAAGGTGTTGCTATGTGGCTGTCAAGGATTTCTGAGTGGTTTTTAGGGTGTTGCTACAGTATGTGTTTGTTATAATATTCCAGATGGTTGCCAAGGTGTTGCTACGTGGTTGTCAAGGTGTTCTGAGTGGTTTTTAGGGTGTTGCTACAGTATGTTTGTTATAATATTCCAGATGGTTGCCAAGGTGTTGCTATGTGGTTGTCAAGGATTTCTGAGTGGTTTTTAAGGTGTTGCTACAGTATGTGTTTGTTATAATATTCCAGATGGTTGCCAAGGTGTTGCTATGTGGTTGTCAAGGTGTTCTGAGTGGTTTTTAGGGTGTTGCTACAGTATGTGTTTGTTATAATATTCCAGATGGTTGCCAAGGTGTTGCTATGTGGTTGTCAAGGATTTCTGAGTGGTTTTTAAGGTGTTGCTACAGTATGTGTTTGTTATAATATTCCAGATGGTTGCCAAGGTGTTGCTATGTGGTTGTCAAGGATTTCTGAGTGGTTTTTAGGGTGTTGCTACAGTATGTTTGTTATAATATTCCAGATGGTTGCCAAGGTGTTGCTATGTGGTTGTTAAGGTCTTCTGAGTGTTTTTTAGTGTGTTGCAACAGTATGTTTGTTATAATATTCCAGATGGTTGCCAAGGTGTTGCTATGTGGTTGTCAAGGTGTTCTGAGTGGTTTTTAAGGTGTTGCTACAGTATGTGTTTGTTATAATATTCCAGATGGTTGCCAAGGTGTTGCTATGTGGTTGTTAAGGTGTTCTGAGTGTTTTTTAGTGTGTTGCAACAGTATGTGTTTGTTATAATATTCCAGATGGTTGCCAAGGCATCGCAACGCATTTTCCAAGGTGTTCTGGGTGGTTTTTAGTAGTGGTCGACAGATATATCGCCACGGTTGATATATCGGCTGATATTTGGCATTTTTCAAATATCGGCATCGGCCGATAAGTTTTTTCAGATTGAACGATGTATTTGAGGCAGGACTTTTATTTTGTCGGCACTAAAAAAGGCACAGCCTGAGCACACAGCACTCGCATTCTCCCTCTTCATCGTTTGCTGTCGCTGTTTAACAGTTCTGTCTAATACAGATAAAAGTCTGTCTAATAATCAGATAGAACTGATAAACAAAGGAATTAAAAGGCATACAAAAAAGTATTATATCGATTGCTTTTATATTATTAGTAACATAAATGCAAACATTATACTTTCTCGTTTACCGTCAGCATTCAGCATATACGTATTAAAATAATTTAAACAAATCTTTGAATGTCTAATAAACATTTAATTTCACAAACCTTGCAGACTTAGTCTAATCCAGCTGTGAGATCTTGTTAAGTGTGCATTTGTATCCTGCATGATTACATTAGTTTATTTTAGTGCATCAAGTTAAACAAAAATAAAAATAAGAAATGTTGCCTTGGCAACTAGCTAAATTTTTATATTTAATATACAGTATATGAAGTAATGCATTTTAATAATAGAAATGAGATGCACTAAAAATGCCCAAATTAAATTAACATTTCTCATACACATCAACTTAATGTACTAAAAAATAAATAATTGAAAATACAATGTCTATCAAGACAATTAGATTAGACAACTAGACTTAAACTGGCAAATAATTTTATACATTTACAAATTAAAATATGTGGTATAAAAATGGCTTTAGTATTGCTATAACTGCATATGCATACGTTAGAAACTCAGTCTGACTTTGAGATATAGATGATTAAGAGAATAGGTATTGTTTGTTGTATATATAACGCAAAATGCATTGTATACATTATGAGAGAGACCATTTCTATTTGACAGACCAGGAAAACAAAATGAAATTTCTGTGGAGAATGTCAAAAAAAAAAACAGACAGCTTTATTGATTATAACAGGAGTGATATTATTTTTGACGGAGCGCAACATGTTTCTCTGCACCTCCTGAGGAAACTGCTCTCAGATCGACTTCTAAGGAACGGTAATGTCACATATAATGATCTAGAACAAACTCAAGCGAGCTTTAGATTAAACCAAGCAAATATTTAAGGACTACAATGGTTATTTTCAGGAGAAATTAAGTCATATGCTAAAAAATGTGATTTGACATTTGTGGATTAGTCTACACTTTTCAACCTCTCCATCAAACAGCATTATTATTCTTTCCACCGCCCACCAAACCACACACTGGAGGATTGTGGGATATCATATCTATACAGGCAGGACAAATGGACAAATTTACAAAAGTCTTAATTTGTGGATTATTGTCCAATGAATCGTCTGGTTCTGTCTGATCACCCGTGTGTGTGTGTGGTTTAATAATAATAATGTATACTCTTTTTCCAGCTGACACTTCATTAATCTTCATTCTCTCAGATGGATCTCTGGCTGGCGAGAGCTGCTGAGCGAGCGGTTTTTTCTCTGCGATAATGTGCTGCTGTGATCAGCAGACGGGATGGTCGTTCATTTAGTCTTCTGAACGGTCATCTTTTACTGCATTTGTGTGTGAGACACACAGAGAATGAATTCAGCAAATTCAACTTTTGTCTGAAATTCTGCAATATGAATATGCACGTGAATATGCATATGTCAGCGAATATGCATATATAATATTGGGTTTACTTGCTACTAGCTATCAGATGTGCGACCTAGATGAAAATAAGAGTGAAAAAGGATAAAATAAAAAATTAATATATGAAAATGCAAATGGAGTGACGTCAAAATGTAAAAAAAAAAAACTGTCGCTGTTTAACAGTTCTGTCTAATACAGATAAAAGTCTGTCTAATAATCAGATAGAACTGATAAACAAAGGAATTAAAAGGCATACAAAAAAGTATTATATCGATTGCTTTTATATTATTAGTAACATAAATGCAAACATTATACTTTCTCGTTTACCGTCAGCATTCAGCATATACGTATTAAAATAATTTAAACAAATCTTTGAATGTCTAATAAACATTTAATTTCACAAACCTTGCAGACTTAGTCTAATCCAGCTGTGAGATCTTGTTAAGTGTGCATTTGTATCCTGCATGATTACATTAGTTTATTTTAGTGCATCAAGTTAAACAAAAATAAAAATAAGAAATGTTGCCTTGGCAACTAGCTAAATTTTTATATTTAATATACAGTATATGAAGTAATGCATTTTAATAATAGAAATGAGATGCACTAAAAATGCCCAAATTAAATTAACATTTCTCATACACATCAACTTAATGTACTAAAAAATAAATAATTGAAAATACAATGTCTATCAAGACAATTAGATTAGACAACTAGACTTAAACTGGCAAATAATTTTATACATTTACAAATTAAAATATGTGGTATAAAAATGGCTTTAGTATTGCTATAACTGCATATGCATACGTTAGAAACTCAGTCTGACTTTGAGATATAGATGATTAAGAGAATAGGTATTGTTTGTTGTATATATAACGCAAAATGCATTGTATACATTATGAGAGAGACCATTTCTATTTGACAGACCAGGAAAACAAAATGAAATTTCTGTGGAGAATGTCAAAAAAAAAAACAGACAGCTTTATTGATTATAACAGGAGTGATATTATTTTTGACGGAGCGCAACATGTTTCTCTGCACCTCCTGAGGAAACTGCTCTCAGATCGACTTCTAAGGAACGGTAATGTCACATATAATGATCTAGAACAAACTCAAGCGAGCTTTAGATTAAACCAAGCAAATATTTAAGGACTACAATGGTTATTTTCAGGAGAAATTAAGTCATATGCTAAAAAATGTGATTTGACATTTGTGGATTAGTCTACACTTTTCAACCTCTCCATCAAACAGCATTATTATTCTTTCCACCGCCCACCAAACCACACACTGGAGGATTGTGGGATATCATATCTATACAGGCAGGACAAATGGACAAATTTACAAAAGTCTTAATTTGTGGATTATTGTCCAATGAATCGTCTGGTTCTGTCTGATCACCCGTGTGTGTGTGTGGTTTAATAATAATAATGTATACTCTTTTTCCAGCTGACACTTCATTAATCTTCATTCTCTCAGATGGATCTCTGGCTGGCGAGAGCTGCTGAGCGAGCGGTTTTTTCTCTGCGATAATGTGCTGCTGTGATCAGCAGACGGGATGGTCGTTCATTTAGTCTTCTGAACGGTCATCTTTTACTGCATTTGTGTGTGAGACACACAGAGAATGAATTCAGCAAATTCAACTTTTGTCTGAAATTCTGCAATATGAATATGCACGTGAATATGCATATGTCAGCGAATATGCATATATAATATTGGGTTTACTTGCTACTAGCTATCAGATGTGCGGCCTAGATGAAAATAAGAGTGAAAAAGGATAAAATAAAAAATTAATATATGAAAATGCAAATGGAGTGACGTCAAAATGTAAAAAAAAAAAATATATATATATATATATATATTATATATGCAAATGCAGTGATTAAAATTAATGGAGTGATTT